CATAGAAGATGATATTCGTTATTAGAGGATTCATCTCCATGATTCATATGTTCGTTTCTTATAAAGGCCAATCGATGGAATTCGGTTGAGACATTAGGTTGAATGTATTGGCCTAGTGGGAGAATGTAACAAATCCATCTCTTCATTTTCTCCATAGAGAATTGATGGTCCAACATTCATTCTTCAGTTTCTACATATATTAAACTTCAATGTTGTATTCATTAGGCCATTGATTGAAAGGTAATTAAGGCCATAACTTTATGGGAGTTGGCTATAAAAAGGGGTTTGGTCCCTAAGCTCAAACACCGCCGAAAATTTAAGATACACCATCAATTTGAAGTGTCGAGAGCTTAGAAGTGCCATTACCATATCAAAGGGAGAGATTTGGAACAACACCAATGACTGGAGGTATGAAACTCGATTTATGGACATTCAGTTTCTCAATCTATTTTTCGATTTATGTTGTTTTGGATCAATTTTTGTTTGACAATAACCACGTAATCGGAAAAATCAACGTGTTTGGGGATTGGAATTACTTTAATATAACGTCGTTCAAGATGTTTTAACCTCATTCAAGATTAACATTTCTTGGTTTTTTCAATGTTATTAGTGTCAGATGAACAGAAATAACGAGTTAAATTTGAAGAAGCTGAAATTTCCATTGATGTACAGTGGAGAGAGCTCAAGACCTTAGTACCGACAACATCAGATCGCCACTTCTTGCCGCTGTTGTTTTTCGAATTTGGATACCGTGCAATTCAAGGCTGTTCAGGCCAAGGGTTCAAACGGGCCCAAAATTGGTATCTAACGTTTTGAGCCTGTTGCCTATATTAATAGGCTTCAATAGACCGTTTGTTTTATTGAGTATTTGACAAATAACACTAAGGGTCTGTTCGGTAGTGATTATGAGAATTGATTTTTTGACCGTTAGAAAAAAAAAATGGGTCCCACCTGTAAGTTAAAAAGTAAAAAATGATGGCTGAAATAGTAAAATAATGGTAAAAAATTGATTTTCTGGGATGAAAAATTGCTACCAAACGAGGGCTAAAATAGAGCATGTGAAAGTCTCGTACTCGACTTTAGGGGCACGCACGGTTCGAATCTTAACAAATAACAAGAGCTCTTCTTTTATTTCTCTTGAGTCTCTTACTTGACATTAGGGGTACGGAAGGTTCGGTTCATAACGAGAACTCTTCTTCTATTTCTCTTGATCTTTAATAGTTTCTTTTATTATTGTTGACACTAGTATAATAAAGTATGTGAAGTCTCGTACTCGAAATTTCATCATATTTTTTTAATTTTTTTTTTTTGTAGTATTTTATTGGGGCCTACTAATTTTGGTCTAAAGGAATTTGCAATGGAGGAGGATATTGAGTTGGGAGACTGCGTGCAAAAAGTAAAGTGGGCATTGGTTAGATCGATAGAGGAGGAAGAGATTGGAGAAGATTATTTCCTTTTTTTGCTTCGATAAAACTTGGGTATTGATATATGTATTAACTAAAAGTAATAGATCAATAAGTATTGTTATTCATAAATGATAATAACCTTCTTTTGTACGTGACATCAATTAATTTTCTGTGACAAATTAATTTAAGTCATCTAAAATATCACAATCACGATTTATTGGAAAGCAGTGATTATGAATAGCATCATTCTTGATCGAATAACTTCTTAGTGACACTCATGGAGGAAATTGCTTGTGACAAAAGTGAAAGAGCCGGAATCACCTTGTAAAAACTAAAAATAAAAATTCAATGACAACTCAAACACTCATTTACTTTGTTCTCTGTTCAGATGGCCGATTTAGATGCATTTAAACAATGTGGCCGATCTAGATGGCTTTTAATTTAGATAGATAGTTATTTTCTATTTATAACACCTTGTAAATTTCTAATTTAACCCTTGTTTAGTGGGGAGATTTTAGTAAATTTTGATAAAAGTTGATGAAATATGTTGTTAAAATTTTGTGGGTCCATAAAATATGTTGTTAAAATTAAGGGGGTGTTTGAGAGCCATTTTTATGTAAAAATGCATTTTAGAATAGTAAATTGATGAGAAATGTGTGGTTGAAAAATAAGGAATTTTTTTTAGTTACGTGTAATATTATTTTAATAAAGAATGTGCAATTGAAAAGAAGAGATAAAAAAGTGCAATTTGAAAAAAATATGTGCCAAACGGGGAACTATTGACTTTGACATAGATTAGAATTTAGATTTTAATTCCTACCAAACAAACGCTTAATTAGCCTCCCGTTCGGCATATTTATAAAGAAAGAGCAATAGTAGAGATTTCTACAAATTGTGTGGATAATAATAATTAGTAGTTATGAACTTGATTGAAATTAACATTCGATTTTAATTAAATTTATAAATTGGTTGGCAAATTAGGCTTAATTCGATTGTCCGGGAACCAAGTCCTCTAAAATGATTGGTTATAGCTTAATAAATAGGTAACTTTATATTATAAGCAATGAATAATTTTGGCAATCCACATCCACACCCTCAGAGGAGAAAGACTACTGCCTCATCTAATCAATTAATCACCTACCAATTAAAATGGCAGGACCAAAATTGCTGCTATTAGTGGACCTAACCATGTTGTGTTCATCATATTTTAATTCTAGTTGTTGTCTCGTCTCGAGGCCAATTCGTAAGCACCAATAAATTTTTCATTTCTTCTTGGAAAAAATATAAAATCCTAAGCTTAGAGAAAATTAGGAGTTTGGAAGTACGTTACATTAAGAATAAAAAATAATTTTTTTTAAAGAATTTCTGATTGAAAATGAGTGTATATTTTTTATTTTTTATTTTAAAAAAAAAAAGGTTTGATCAAACAAAGGCTAAGGTTTTGGCACAACTGTTAATTTTATGTTGAAAGTACGAATGCGGAGTTTTCAAGACGACAAATGATATAAATTGTAAAGGTAACATGCGTTATGAAAGTTGCGAAATTTGGGTATGTGAACTTATAGGTGGGCTATACGTAAAAAGGTTAAACCCTAACCTTAAGGGTCCCCCACCACCCCTGTCCTGGAGCATCGTGAGGGAGGTAAATCGCAGGTTATGCCTCCAATGGTACAGGGTGGAAGGCTGCTTGTACACTTGCACTCACCCAAAAGCCAAATCCATATTTCAGGATTCGAACCCTTAACGCAGTAACCTCAAGCAAAGTTGGATTTCTCCACCCTCCCTTTTTACCACTTGTAGATGTGCCCCGGGGGCATAGGTGGGCTATACGTAGTTATTACAAGAGATGACATTTGATTGTCATAGAAAAATTTAGCTCCTCTTTAGTTTAAGTAAAAATCAAATTTTTTATAGATTTTAATAAATAATGATGAAATATATGGTTGAAAAATTAATTAAAAAATTATAAATTTAATAAAATATAGTGAAAATTGAATTTGGGGAACACCGATAGTCAAAGAAAATGAAACCAATTAAAATAAAGTTTTCTGTTCCTTCAATCAACCAATTATTTCCAATAGGCCAACTTGACCATAAAAAATAAGATATCTGCAATCCCATTTAAATTAATCAAAATATGGTCATGCTTATCAAATATTTGACAAGAAATAAATGTTTCTTTTTATCCATTTAGAGTATATAATATTCCACAATGGTTACAAACTTTAATTAATGGAGAAAAATAATATAGTTGACAGAGTAAAATTGCTTCACATATTGTTCAATACATAAATATCAAATGTTTTAGAACGTACAATGAAATTTATTTTGTATTAAGGATAATTAAATATATATTCTACAAATGATTACAAAGTGACTAATAAAATTTTATCCATGAAGCATCCTAAGTTCATTTCTTTTATTGTGCCAAAAGTGTTAGATTGTGTCTGAGGATAATATGACTTTTGTCACACTTTTGCCTTTTCATCTCATTACTTTCACTTTTATGTTATTAAGGTTCTCCATATCCATATGTAACAACTTCTTTTTAATTTTAACTCACACTTATTAGAACCACCCTACATGTACAAGGTTATTTTTGCCAGATATTTTACAGGTACTCACATTGGTGGGGCCCGTGTTATTATTATTTTTTTAATACATGTGAGGCTCTCGTTAAAGTGAGGGCCCCTGTATAAACCCTGGAGAAAAAACCCTGTACACTGAGCTTTTTCCCACTTATTAAGACTCCCTAAAATAAATCCTAGTGTTTACAATATTAATTTTAAAATAAAACGATCATTTATCTATAGATCATAGTATATGGTTCCCACACTTCGAAAAACGTATATAATTTTAAACTTCAATCAATATGGAAATCTAATTAGCTAAACTCTGATCTCATATAACTTAAAGTCCGTTTAACACGACTTTTGAAAAATCAAAAGAAATTTTTGAGATTCAAAAGTTGATTTTGAACCTATTAGACTAACTTTATAAAAGTATTTTTTTTCTAATTATAACAGTTTTTACAGAAAATTAGTCCAATTTAGCTTCCTCTAAAAATACTTTCAGAATATGAAATTCTTTTAAAAATTAGTTCTAAATAAAAACTAAAATAAGTTCGTCCAAAAACTCTTCTACAAATAGAAGCAAAAGTAAAAGCAAAAATTAGGTCAAATGGGCTCTAAATTTGAAGTCGATTTAATGTTTCAGACATACTCATCGATCATATTAATATGAAATAAATTAAACAACAATGTTATGGTCACAGAATTTTTTTAACATAATGAATGACCGACACTCACATTGTGCGAAGGCCCACTTCTTTTTTGAACTTTTTTATTCATACGAGGCCTATGCACTGTGAAACGATGTCAACCATTATGTCAAAAAAAATTAAATTCTTTCAAAGTTGGGAAACTTATTTCTTGAGTATGTGTACTTTTAGGTAGTTAAAAAAAAACACACATAGGTCAAATCGCAGAACTCCATGAAGATTAAAATCACAATTAGTCAATGTTAAAGTACAAAAAGGTCAATATGCAAAGCCATGCATATGTTAAATCAAGATAATAGGGGAAAAAAATATTTTTTAAAAAATGCAGTTGCTGGTGCGCAATTTGCTCTCTCTCTTCACAAGCAACCTCTCACGTGAGTGATCCAGCTTTGCATTAATTACTTTTCGGGTTTTCGTTCGGATCTTTTATTGCCCGGATCTATTCAATGCACTGCAGATCCAGGACTATAGTTACCGCACTGTACAAATAATTAGTTCAAGGGACTCTAGTTGCAGAACTGCAGATCCGGGACTATAGTTACAGCACTGTACAAATAATTAGTTCAATATACTCCTGTTTTGAGAATTTGAGGGTTTAGTTGTGAAATATGAGCTGTGGAGTAGTTACTGCAGAAGAGTTTGATTTGGTCGGGGATAATGGAATATTTTCAGTTAATTGTGAAAGTGACGATTCTGTTGGGTAATTCTGCTTGTTTTACAGTTTGGAGGTGCTAAATTTGGTGAACGTGATTAGGGTTTGTTTTTGTTTATAGGATTTTGTGAATTTCGGTTGTTATTTGCTTCACATTTTGATGTGGAACTGGTTGCATTCCGAGCAATTTTATGCTTTTGAGGTGTGATTTGCGGATTTGGAATTGCAATTTAAATTATTTGTGGGTTCTTCGTAATGGTGTCATTTTGACTTCTCAATGATACGGCGCAAATTTGGTGCGGGTTTTGATTGTCCGAATGGTAGAGGAATTTCGGGGTCTAGTTAAGTTTAGCCGAAATGTTTCTTGTAGTTCTCACCATGTGCTTCCTAGAGTTTGGATTTTAGGAGGAATTTGATTGAAAATTTATTACGTGAATCAAATTGCGGATACAGAGATGCCTCCATCCCCGGCAACAAGATTTTCTCCAAGGAGGGAGCTGAGGGCTGAGAATCACAAGAGAGGACGTAGTCTTGAGAGTGTGATCCTTAGTAAAGAGAAAGATGATGATCTTGATCTGTTCAATGAGATGCAGAACAAAGAAAAAGAGAATTTCTTGCTTCAGTCAAATGATGACTTTGAAGACGCCTTCTGTAATTTCTCGCATACTATATAATCTGCCTTTTGACTTGGCATTTAGTGAAGTATAATATGTGCACTGGGATTTCTTTGTTTTGATTGACTGACAATTATCTTTTTATTTATTGCATTTGACAGTGACAAAATTAAGACACTTTTCGGATCATAAGGGCAGAATCACCATTCCTGGTCGGGGAGAGAGTAGCGACCTGCTCAATGCAGAAGGAGATAAAAATGATTATGAATGGTTAGTTGTGTTTCTCTTCTCACAAGTTCACCTTTTTTACGTTTCTTTTGGAGAGAATTTTGTACAGATCTGTCTCCCTTTCTGAAAGATCCTGTAGATATTGTTAGGGTTCCGTGTATGTTCAGTTAATGCAATTTGTTTGGCTAAGAGTTGAAGTTTCCTCGGACAAAGAAAATAATGCTAATAACAGAAGCAGAAGCTTGCATAATTAAAATGAAATCAAGAAAATATAATCTTCCTTTATGGGCTAACATCTAGAAAAGTTTGTTTCTGATGTGCTATATAACTGGCCTACTTTCTTATTTAGTATTCTTTTTTTCTCACAACATGCAATTCTGTTGATTAAAGGTTAATAACTCCTCCGGAGACCCCACTTTTTCCTTCTTTGGATGATGAGACACTACCGGTTAATGATGTACAGAGGGGCAGGCCGAGGAGTCAACCTGTTTCAATCTCAAGTTCATCTACTGTAAGTTCATTAAAAGTCAATGAAATCAACTGGCAACTTCTATATTACCTCAATCCATAAAATGTATGTATGATCTCTTTTCAAACTTTTCTAATCCTTCTTTTGTTTTGAAAAAAAAAAAAAATGTTAAATATATGTTCAACTTCAGATGGAGAGGAGTTATAGAAGCAATAGAGGAAGTGCAAGTCCCCATCGCCTTAGCCTATCTCCTCAGTCTGGAAATAGTATATCACAATCAAGGAGCAGGCCATCTTCAGAACCTCATTTAAGTCCTCCGCCTAGATTGAAGCATCCGGCTTCTGTAAGGAGACCATCTCCCCCACCAAGTAAGCCATCTGCACCTGCTGTGCGGTCTAGTTCACCAAATCCTGGGAGGATGAGCACTGGTTCTGCTGCACCATTACGGATGAAAGGCAACTCCCCTGCCAAGACAAGTAGAGGGAATTCCGCTTCACCCAAAATAAGGGCATGGCAATCTAACATTCCAGGCTTTTCATCAGAGGCACCTCCTAATCTTCGTACCTCACTGGCTGATAGGCCAGCATCATATGTGAGGGGATCCTCCCCAGCATCTAGAAATGGCTCCAGATCTGGCCGAGAATCAATGTCTCCAACTGCTACCAGCAGTGTCAGTTCCCCATACACTCCTGACCGGTACATGTTTAGTTCCCATAGCAAAGGTTCAGTTGCATCGTCTGGTGATGATGACCGAGAGTCTATAAAATCAATACCTATTACCAGCTCAGACCACTCAGCTCCAAGGAACGTAGGTGCTATCCCAAATACTAGAGCTCTGGGCTACTCTAAGAAGCCAACTAAAATTGTGTCTAGTTCTGCTCCAAAAAGATCCTTTGACTTGGCACTTCGACAAATGGTAATTAACCTCTCTTTTATTGATGTAATGATGCTTTTGTGATGGTTAGGCCATATGTATGTGTTAATGCATGCTGGTATATACTCTCAAGGCATCTAAGATGGAAAATTATTTGTATGGAGCCATTGTAAAATATATCTTAATAAACCTCTATTATTTAATAAAATTTTCTGGTCCTGACTTGGGCCAATGGGATAAGTTAATATTTCAAAAAATTGAAAAGATAATAATTTTGTAGAGATGTCTATCTAAATCTGTGGTTCCATGCATACCATAAATAAATCATTTTGCTAGAAGTCGCAAATATAATTTACTACGGTATTTTCTTGCAATTTATTGCCTGGTTAAATGTATGTGTTTTGAGTTAAAAATGCATGTGTTCATTGTAGTACTTAGAGCATATCCAAAAGATTCTTTAAACATTAGATGCTCTATATTTTAAAAAGTTAACCTTTAAAATTGTGCTTTAAGAGATTCTTTAAATTATCATTTTAATTTAGAGAGTTTTCTATAATTACAAGGTATTTCAATTTTCAATTGAGACAAATAATATAATAATTTAGAGGTAAGCTAGTGAAAATAAAAGATATGTAAAGACAGTAAATATTTTTTGGTGGTAATAGTGTTAAATATAAAGAGTCTTTTGGAGTATGTTGAATTTTTTTCTCTTTAAATTTATATATACTCTCTAAATTGTACAATATGTGTTTTAAAAATAGAGAGTCACTTGGAGATATTCTTATAAGATAATACTCAGTTAATTTCTATTTTATCAAAGGTATGTGTATTGAATCATAAATTTACTCTTTAAATTAATAACTCTTTTAATTAATAGATTTTGCATGGCCCTAACATTGTTGATTTATAGAGGTTATTCTGCAATGTTGACCGTTATTTCTGGGTTTTGTTCTTGATGTTTATTATGATTCTGTGGGCCCATTAAAGATTTTTCTGGATGAACTTTTGTATTTATTACTAGCCTTGAACAATTTGTGGAAGTTCTTTGAACAAATTTGAAATCTATTTGAAATGTTGAACCATAAGGTTAATCCTGAATTTGACAAATGACATATTGGAGTTAGCATTTTGGTGGAATACAATCATTTTTGCATTAGCACCATTCTTTTCTTGTCCTTCACAGTCTTAATACGGTCTCATAAATGTGGAATAGTGATGCTAATCTATCATGTCCTTTTACTTGCATGTACCTATCAGCGGAAAGCCAGGGATATTTTGTCCTTTTGTGACTGCCCCATCCCTATTACCAGGCCAAATGTAAAATTCATTGGCCCATCCTAGCTATCCATTGTTTGCTTCTGTCAGCTTTCACATTTTATAATACAATCAGTGCTGTTATATTTATATTTCTGTTAAAATTTACTAGTTGTGAAGTTTATGATCTTTATTTCCATTATTGTATACATTTTGGGTTATTTGCATTTAAACGCTCTTATTTGCCTGTATGATGCGCTCATTTATGCATGTTTCGTGCATGTCCATAACACAATCTCGTTTAAATAACTTCATTATAATGCATTTGCTTACTGGTAAAGGAAAAAAATATGTGTTGGTTTTAGGAAAATTTGTTCTTATTTCTATTATTCACTTTCTTACCAATTTGCTACTAGATCGCAAGATCTTTTGAATGCAATGTTTCTGGTTTCTGTGCTTTAGTCTTTTGGTGTGGTTCATGCCATTTTATCAGTCACATAGGATTAGAACATATGTCAAGGAGCTGAATATAATATCAAGGAGTGGAATTGGTACCAGTACAGGATATTTACAGGATTTACAGCTTACGTAGTTAGGACATATGTTGCATCTGCTTAAAGAAGCTCCTGTACGAAGTGTGACTTCCAGTATTAAAAGTATTCACAGAAATGGAAAGGATGCAAGTATTTAAGTTTCAAGATTTTTGAAAAAATTAAATAGAACTATCAATCATTCTGGTTTATGGGATCAAAAGAGAGCAAGAAAAAATGACTGACAATAAATACTAAAAGAAAATGATATTTAACTATTTTGAGAAGTTTCCTTAAGCTTGATGAGCTCAACAAATTTTTATAGTGAAACATGTAATCATCAAGTATAACTATTACTATTTTGATGGCATTGAAAGGGAAAATAAACTCAATGTCATCATAGCTCAGTAATGCATTGCCTTCATTATTTACTTCCCTGACATGTAAATCTGATGGCTAGATTTTTCGATTGAAGATTTGTCACGGTACCCTTTACGCATGAACAGTAGGGCTCATATTGGCTTTCTCGTTTTGTATACAGGATCATCGGAAAGGTCCTCAAAATATGTTTAGGCCGCTTTTGTCCAGTGTCCCCAGTTCTACATTCTATGCTGGAAAAGCAAGTGCATCCCATCGTTCTATGATATCCAGAAATTCTTCAATCACCACTAGCAGTAATGCCAGTTCTGATCAAGGGACAAGTGGTGCTCATGATACTGAAGAAAGTGAGCAAAACCAAGATGATGTAACCAGTGAATGTGTAAAGGAACAGTATCCAGAGGTGCACGACGAAATATTTGTCTTCGATCAGGTTGATGCTTTAAATGAAGGTGTTGGGCAGAAAATCTACAAGGGATCACCTAAGAGTCAATATGATGAATTTGTTGTCAACTCTGTGGACAATTCTCAGTTTGTTGTGGATGAGAGTTGCAGCCAGCTTGATACTACTATAGATGTTCCCACATCTGCTGTTGTCTTGGACGGGAAAGGTGATTATTTTGATGCCGATGATCTCGAGGACTTGGCAATATGCTCAAAGTGTGGCCAGAAATTGAATTCCACGGAGATGTTAATGGAAGGAGAACAAAAATTTTGTCCGGAATGTAGAAGTTTGGAAGCACCTTTAACTTTAAATACTCTTCCAATGGTCATGATGGCTGGTGAGAACGCTTTAGGAGATTCAGTGAAGATTCTACAACATGGGTCATTTGAGGCTTTGGAGTGCTCTGCACTAATTTCAGAACCATTGCAAGTTATAAGTGTTGGTGAAGCCAGGAATGATCATCATGATGAGATTTCCAACGAGGGTCAACACTGTAGTGTGAATTTCTCACTAGATAATTCACTTGAAGTGTCGGACGTGGAAGAAGTTGAGCTAAATGCCAAGAAACAAGAAATGGGTCTACCAACTGATGGTGACACTGGCCATCAGCAGTCAGAGCATGGACGGGTTGATCCTAATTTAGAAGTTAATGTTTCAGAAGGTGCAGGTATATCTGTACTGTTTAAGAGATCAAGCAGTGGCAAAGGACACATTGTTCAAAGCAAGAGTTTCTCAGCAACTAACATCAACTTTGATTGTTTCTCCCGTGTGACAGACAGGATAGACAGCATGAGAAGCTCCTTTGGGCATGGCAGTACATCTGTTTCGTCTTCTGTTGACCTGGGGTCGTCTAGGCAAATAGAGACTCGTATTCAACGGCAATTAAGTAGTAGTAAATCGGATATAGAAAATTACAGATATGAGATGCCTATGAAGCACAAACGCTCCATATCTTCCTTGACTGGTGCTTCAAGTCATGCTTTGAAAGTCCTAAGTGTCACAGCAAACTCTCATGAAGATAGTTTTGAGGTAGTTTCTGTCAACGAAGAAAAAGATTTCAGGGAGCCAACATGCACAGATCCTCGTGAACTATCATTGCCTTCAGAATTTACAGAAAACGAAAGTACCTCTGCTAATGTTGAAAGCAACAAGAATTTTATAATTAACTCAGAATTCTCAGGACATGTGAAGAACATCCATCCAGGAGATACTCCCTCTGTGTCAGTTTCAGATTTTGAAGAGCCACCATCAAATGAGGATGGTGAGAATGTGTCAAAGAATTCTAGTAATCCCATGTATACAGAAGCATCATCCACCCTTCCCAAGAGTTACACACAAGAGGAAGATGCCATGCCAAATATATATGCTGATTGGGTGGATGTGGGAGAGCTTCCTAATCGAAGCTCTTTGGATGCTATATCAGAAATTGAAATTAAGAATGGTGATACTGGTTCTCCTGATTCACAATCTGATATTGATTCCACTGATTCAAAGAGCTACATTAATGAGTTGCAGGATTCTCCTGTTCTGGCCGCATCCAATTACATTATAACAGCATCTGTTAAAGACCCTGACCCCTCAGGTCATGCATGTGACATCCTTGGTAAGAATATCTTGCCTTCTGGGTTTTTCACTCTTCTGTCCCCACCTCTGAACATCTAACTTGTACCAAGTAGTATTGCATGTTCTAAGCATAATTTCTTAGAGCAGAAAATCTCAAATTCATTCTGCAAATGGTTTAAGAGATTCTGATTCCCACCACTTAGATCTACTAATTTTGCAGCGCGCATTGATTACTTTTGTTGTTCACCATGAGATAATTGATGGCATTTTCAATGTTGTGACAATCACTGACAGCCTCAAAACCTTCCAAACTACATTAATCTGCCCTATAGATGACAATGGCCATGAGACCTTTGATCCTACAATTCTATTTGGTTCTAATCTGTGGTCTTATTTATGATCCTAGTGACGTTGTACTTGACCTTAGTGAAAACTTCCAAGTGTTAAATGAAAGGGGGCTCCTGAATGTCCTTGCCATAAAACTGTTCTCACACCTTTATCATCATTTTGAAGCTAAAGATAAAATTGTCTGTGCTGATGATTTTTCTTGAATAACAATTGTATTTTCATTTGAGATCTTCATCTTTAATTCTTGTTGTAAACGGTTTATCTGGGTGAGTTTAACTTGAAAAACTGCCCATAGGTCTAACTGCATGTAGTCATGAATGGTTTAATAAATTTACGTCTCTTTCTCTTCCTCCTCGCTCTCTCTGAGGATGATCTACGGTTGGCTGATCTCTCAAATAAGTAATACCGAACAGGATTTTCCTCATATCATCTAGGGAAATATTCCCTTTTATTTATTTATTTTTCATCTGAGGGTTTTTAGTTTAGCTTCATGCTAGTCTCTCTTTTTTTCCCCACTCTCTCCCACCACTAGCAATTATTAACCACCTTTTTACCTACACCACTTTTTTGTGCACCATTTTCAGATCTAGTGAGCTTTTGCTGTAACAAGTTTGTTGTTTCATTTATTTTGGTACTTTAACTAGTAATTTCTTGAATGTGTAAATATCCTTATGCATACTTTTTTTTTTTAGTGATATCCCACATGTGCTTTGGGGTGTGGAGTGGGAGGTTGGCTTTGGCTCTTACAATTTCCCTTCTTTTTTTTTGACAGTCAATGACTCTTACATGTTGATTGTAGGATAATTCCAATAAAGGAGAGGGAGACATGATAGCCTTACCTCCCTCCAACGTTAAAGCATGACGAGCCCAAGTGATATTTTTGCTCGTCTCCACAAATATAAAAATCATGTTTTTTAAGAGAAAAGTAATTTTTAAATGTTATTTATCTATTTAGTGAATTATAAATTAAAACTAACCAAGTTTTTAAGAATAACTGCAGTTTTCAACTTCTGTTTAGCATAACTTGGAATGCCTTGAAGTTCATTATCTTATGTTGTTACCATCTTTCTTTCTTGGTCAATAACTTGACTTTCCAGTTCTACATTTCGTTGTGTTGATATTAGAAATTCCTTTGTAATAACAGAGGAATCAACTGTCATGCTAGATAACCGAGGAGGAATGCAGGCTAGAAGCCTGACCCTAGAAGAAGCAACAGATACCATACTCTTCTGCAGCTCCATTGTCCACAATCTGGCTTATGAGGCTGCAAATATAGCAATAGAGAAAGAAAACTCGGTCCCGTTGGTAGATTTGCAGCCAACGGTAACATTTTTCGGGAGGGCCAATGTTGATAGAAGGGATATACATTCCAGAGCAATGGGAAAACGTACTACTAAGTCCCAGAAAGCTCGACTGAAGAAATTGGAAACAGTTAAAAAACTTCCTCCAGAGAGCAACATTGAAAGTGATGGGAAAACCGATAAGGATGTTACATGTATTGTTGAAGTTCCGAATACAGGTGATAGCACGAGACTTCCGAAGCTGGAGTCGAAATGCAATTGCACAATAATGTGAGCGGGTCGAGCTTATTTGCAGGAGAGGAATGCTTTTTTCTTCTTGTTGTAATTGTTCTGTAAGAAGTACGTCGTTTTAGTGATTATAAACATTGTAAAGTCGTAATTTTTACTAGGCTGATGGTAGTGAACGGAGTTGGAGATTATGGACTGCTCCAATTGCCATATTCTTATTTGATATTATTCATTTTTAATTTGGTGAAGTTCCTCAATTAAGTGTGAATTCTTTTGTTGTGCATCCCAAATAATCTTTGTACATTTTAATTGTTGAAGATGTAATCATTTCACTTATTTTTCCCAAATCAAGTCTTCAATTAAATTCAATTATTAGTACTTCGCATCTTGCTGCTACTTTTCCCCGTCGATTATCGCATGGCAGAAGCATACTCAATGAATAGATATGGAATATCATACCACACCATAGGCAGACATGCGGTGGCTTTCGTGGTGGTGCTTCAAGTTCCATGGTACTGCGTCCAAGATCAGAACAAGCTTCTCAAACGAATCAATGCCATCCCATTTTTGAGTGCCTTGGTGCACAACCATCTTATCCATTGAACTAGCTAGAAGCTATCACTTCAAGTCGATACATTAAAGAAAAGGACATTATACCACCGCATGCATACCATCTTTAACTATTGTTGACTTTTAAGTTTCTCTAATGCAGGTTGAAACATTAAAGAACAGGACATTATACCACCGCATGCGTACCATCTTTTACTATTGTTGACTTTTAAGTTTCTCTAATGCAGTCCGTGCACTGCTGGCTTACCAAACTTACCTCAGAATTTAGAGCTTTTTCAATAGTGATTTTGAAAATGATTTTTGACCGTTGAAGACAAAAGTGAATCTTACTTGTCAAAGAAGAAGTAAAAAATAACGATTTGAATAGTAAAATAACTACTAAATTTTTGATTTTTTGAAGTGAAAATACAATACCAAACATGCACTAAGTTTTGAATGATTAATTTTCCATTGAAACAAAATTAAAGATGTAAGAGTAATTTATTATTTCAGTCAAGCTGAAGCCCCTTTTCTAAGTCCCACTTTTGTTAAAAAAAATATGTTTTAGAATAGTGATTTTTTGAAGAACATGTGATCAAAAAAGTTCATAAAAAATAAGGTCCAAATTTTTTATGTACTTTTACATGTTAAAGTTCGTGCCACGTCCGGGCTTGCTGGGTCTTTTTTGCCTCCCTTAATGAAACAACACTCGTTCAAATTCAAGAACGACTAATAAACCTTTTTATCAGGCCCAAAGCACCATAGCGAATTTAGAACTTGATATATTGAAGATTTTTTAGCCGTTGGCATTTTGTAGGAAGTTTCAGGGTAGCAGGTGATTTCTCAATGTGTATAAGAAAACCTTTAAAAATGCAACTTTAACCGAAAATATAGATAAAAGGGCTATTTCAATAGCAGCGTCCAAATTTACACAGTCAAATCATTTTTGGTGATTTTTCTCCAAGAAAACCTGGTTTACAAATCTTGCACTGCAATATAAATAAGGGAATTCCTTTATAGAAATAAAAAAATATATACTTCTGTGGGTACATGTAATAAAAGATATTATCATCTACACAGCAAAATATACTAACTCCTCCAAGATTCTAAGAGCACGAGAGCAGTCCATTCAATAATCGTGGGCATACGTACCTCAGAACAACCATTACTTCAGTATCTGGTTTACTCAACTTAACTCGGCCTCGAGGACATAAGAACAAGTGACCATTGCTCCCCTTCATGACAACGCCCGTGCCAGGTCGGCCTATGACCCGTGAAACCCACAGATGGGCATCAGCAAGATAGAATACTTGGATAGCCGGTTACATATGCATATTGAAAGAGCAAAAGACACGACAATACCATGCGAGTGTTCAGCTCAAGTTCAAAAAGTTTATTAAGTTTACAAATTCGAAGAAATAGAGAACTTGGAGAGAAGGTGAGAATTCTTTATATGAAGCCATAGGAAATACCCCTCAAAAAAGAACTATTTCTAAAATAAGAAACTTGTGAAAAAGTCACTTATCCAAACACGTTTCAAGACAAAAGGATACTTCTATAATTAAGCTTAGCCAGACATGCTTCATATTCTAAAATGAAATGCTTGAAAGCCAAAGTTGCCCAAAGCTTTTTATCCACACAGCTTGAATAAAACAAAAAGTACGGTACCCCATGCACAAGGCATGTAAATTTATATGTTTCAAAAGTTTCACCAATTATATACACACCCTAGAAAGCATATACCAAGTTTAACAAATGTTTGAACCGTCCCGAAAACACAAAACTCTTAAATGCCATGATAAATCAAGCACCGTGTACCTATCATTTGTAACCACTAATTAAAAATTCATTTATAGCACTTCGGCCAAAACTGTCATAGACAATTAAGTATTAGAAATGTAACAGGGTAGCAAATGTGTACCTATCTCGACTTCATAAACACTTGAGGATCTCTTTAAAATTGCAAAATTTTCAAGCCAATTAACTAAAAGGTGTGCGACAACCCTTGCTACATTATGCACTTGTTAAATCAGGAGTGGGAATGATGCCGAAAAACACGGGAAAGAAAAAAGAAACAAAAACAAGTCGTACCAACTGCCAGCTGATTCCGGTTCTCTGATTGGTCAGTTGTATGTCTAATTACAAAAAATAGGAACAAAAATCTTCCTCAATATCAAAGCATTGCACATTTTAAGTTTAATATTATTATTTCCATAAAACATAGAAAAAATTAATTTATAATAATTTAGAAAACTTGCACTTAAGTATTAAAACTGTAACAAGAAGATTGGTAACATACCTTGAGTTTGAGCAGACAACAAAGAATATCTGAATAATGGAAAAAAATTGGAATTCAATGCATGCCAGGTTGTGAGAGAGATCCTCAACCTGCTTGCTTTTATACTGCAGTGACATGTGCAAATGTATGTCATAAAAGTATATCTTGTTCACACCATAAAAGCTCTAAAAGAATCGGTTATTCTTCCAGGATACAAGAAATTACATCACAAAAGTTCAAATTTTGTTCAAGCCATAAAACCTCTTAAAATATTGTTTAATCTCCCGGGATACAAGAAACTGTAAATCGAAAGCAACTACTTTTGATGAGTCAATACATGAAAAATGACCATGGCCAAGAAAACTAAACACTACGTCATTTCAACTCAACAGAAAATGACAAATCATCAACTTCCAGTGATGTTCATCATATGCTAGGAGCTTCAATACCATCCTTACATGAAAACAAGCACAATACGACTCCATCAAGTTAGCAATTAATAATTTCAAATCCCCATAGGGCCATATAAATAGACGATTACCAGTGTACCACTGTTACACACGATATAAATTAATTGATAGATGTAAACCATTCTTTTTACTTCGTAGTGGCCAAAAATATAAATCTATCTACCTAAATTTCTTTATCATCCAACCATATGGCAGGGCTCAACAAATAATTTCAAGGTGAACTACACCATATGTAAAAAAGACCAGTAGCAGATAGAGCACTGGCACAGACGTTAATTGTTGCATCCTTCTGATCTCTCTCGGATTGGTTGGTGCCATCAGAATAATAGATGCACTTTGGACACCACAATCCCAAAAGGAATCATAAGCTCCCAACTAATTTTATTATTGAGAGCGGGGGAGCTGTGAAGATGGCAGCTTACAAGCAAAAGGCTGCCGAGTACTTTAATTGAAGGGTGAGACCGACAGTTTTTCAATAGAAAGATCTTGTACTAAGAGAGGTAGCAGCAGCAGGGCACCCTCCGCCTAAACTCGGGCCAAATTGGTAAGAACCGTGTGAAGTAATTTGCAGCCTTTGAAAGGGAGCTCACAGTCTCAAAGATTTGAAGGGAAAGCCACTAAGTAGGCCGTGAAACACAGAGTTTAGGTCGACCATCAAAAGGTCGCCAAGTATGATACTATGTGATGTCCTTTTATTTCTCTTGAAAACATAGTTGCTAAGATGTTTCATCGATTTCCCTAATGTAATCCCTGCTATAGGTATATCCTATTGTAATTATTAGCATTGTTCAATGATAAGTTTAGATGGCTGCTTATGATGAGGGCACTAAGAAAGTGCCAGCATAGCTGGGATGCCCTGGTGTACCGAATCTCCAAATTTAGGCAAGTTTAATGTTAACGCGCGAACTTGATTTACGATCAGTTAAATCACAAGCTTCAAACTTCTCCCAGCACATCAAAGTCGTCAAGGGGATAGGCGGTGAGCAATAAAACCAAAAATTGGTTATAAGCTCAAAATCGCCCTATGGTCCTAATGTTGAGCTTTCAAAATTAAAAAATTGATTAAGACTAAAAATCACTAGATGGTTAGAAGTGATGTGATAACCGTCATGCAGTTTTCAATTAAAGAACGTGATGTTCGGGAATCATGATGGTCGGTTGATTGATCGTGGTATTCAATCGTCGGGTAGTCGGTCAATCACTCTTGGTGGTCGATCGACAATCACAGTAGTCAATTGATTGCAATGGTGGTCAGTAGGTTCGAACATCGCATCCACTACCATCCCACCTAGCATCAATTAAATACCAATAAGAAACAAAATACGCTTGGTTACTTTCAGCATCAAGAAATCAAATATATTGATCCCAACTCTTCACTTATAAATGGCCAACAAATAGTCAAACGAACAATAATTAACAAGCATATTAAATATCAACAACCATTCTTAGCATGTTAGAATGCAACGCTTTGCTCCGTAGTGTTGACATTCGCAAAAATTGGAGAGGTTAAAAATATAAGTTATCAGCACTAAAAAATTAAACCTACAACTGAATGTTAAATCAAATTTCTAATTGAGACAAACCTATATTCCACATGAATAGAGCAAAAATTTCTAATCTATAACTACATCCGTGGATTCAAATTTAATAATTACCTTTGGGAGAAATGCTCTCTCTCAAACTCTTCAACAATGATAAGCTAAGAATATCCCCTCTGCATTACATCATCATCTCTTGCAAACACAATATGAGGATTAAAATTGACAGCATTAAAGAGTACAAAAGTAAAACGTACTCTTGTGGCCTTCAAAACCAATTTAAGAAAACTGATTATATTGATCCATATAAAATTATGTCACATACATGAGTTTCAACTGAAAAAACGGGAAGAGTACATTATGCCAGACCTGGCCATGCAAGCAGTGTCAAAGATACGTTTTTGTGGAACAGCAGAGCAGCAGAATAAAATGTCAGTTTGCACAAATCTGATTCAAGAGCAGGGGCAACTGGATTGCTCCACCAAATTTTCCAACGGTGCCTGTTAAAAAACAGCACAAGTTTCACAACAATGTTTGCAATCCTTTCTATCCATAGCTCTCACCTCAACTATGTTTTGTCTGAGACTAAAGTAAAAACTAATGAAGAATGTATCTTCAAACGTTGGTAGCTACTCTTGGCCAAATAAACCACCGCCAGTGCCTAATTCCCCTTGTCGCAACTCCTTTCTCCGTTGCTCTTCTAAGGGATCGGGACTCTTCAACATTCTTCGCCTGCGCCTGAAACCCCACTAAAAACTATTAATTCACTTCAAAAATCTCAAAGAATTAATGACAAAGAATTTCATATTGACGGTGAAATACCTGTCTTGTGCATGCTGAGCTGGAAAAGTAGGCATAAGTTCTTTAGACTTGGGAAGAGGAACTTCACGGAACCATTCATGGTTGAGAGCCGCTTTAGCAGTAATCCGCTGCACCGTTACCATATACCATTACCATATACACAATTAGGAAATGTATTGACAAGATATTTTAACCCTGTTTGACATCCATTAAAATGGGTTTTTTTGGGGGGGAATGAGTTTTGGAATAGTTATTTTTTGAAAAATGTGTGTTAAAAAGTAAAAGAAGTTTGGGGTCCACATGCAAAATATTTTATTGTGTGAATGTGTGGTTGTAAGTGAGTTTGAGAAAAAAAGAGTTGACTTAATGGATGTCAAACGGAGACTTTTTCATTACAATAGATACACAGGCATATTAACTACGAAAATACCTTCTCAGGATCATAAGTTAAAAGCTTGGTCAAGAGGTCAAATCCAGCTTCCGAAAGTACCGGTGATCCAATAAAAGAAGTGGGAGGAAATTTCCTACGCAAAGGATTGTACCTGAAATGAAATATATCACTAGTTAGTAGAAACATAACATTCTTGTAATGTAACTGAAACTGTCACCCATGAAGGCCAAAAAGCCAGAGCAAAATCACCCATAGCCGGAAGCCTGGGAAAACAGTGGCAAAGAAGAAACCATGAATCTTGCGGTCAATTGGAACAAATATTGACTGTGAAAGATATAGATACTTACTGATGGTTAATACCAGTCGAAATTTCCTCATTTGGTTTGCCAAGGATCCTATATATCTGCAGTTATTTAAGATTCAAAAGAAACTGATCAGGCCAAGTCTCACTTTATTGGTATAAATCTAGTCAGAACTTGTAAGAAATAATTAATTAATACAAAACAGTGTTAGTGTAATATGATCTAGCTCTGTTATCAAATTCAGCTATCCACTCAGAAATCGTAACAAATATTTAACGAAAGACAAAATGATGCTATTGACCTTTACCTTGTTGAGTTGATCCAACTCTGTTTTCCCATTGAACAAAGGTTCTTTTGATAACAGCTCAGCCATAATACATCCCAATGACCACATATCAATTGCAGTGGAATATTGCTTGGTTCCTAAAAGAAGTTCCGGTGCCCTAGCGAAGAAAATGAGAGTTCGCAGTATAAGCTATCAGTCATAAAAAAAAACATATCAAACTGTTTACCACTGACAGAGAATAGGATATGAGGACAACAACATCAACAACGACGCTTTAGACTTTGAAACATACAAATTTCCTTCATATAGAAGTGATAATGGCAATGACAAAAAGATGAAAGAAGATGGCGATTGGAAATTTGGAATTTGAATCAACTATAGATCTGCATAGAAGAAAACATGCAAACGCACAATGATATAGGATTGTTAAAGAATGTGATAAATTATTTAAGAAATGAATAATTATGTGAATGGTAAATGCGTGACTGCGTCAAGAAGAAAATAACACAAAGGATGAACCATTGATGATGTGATAAAGAGATGCTCACCTGTACCACAGAGTAACCACCAATTGAGTATATGGTTTCAACGGGCTTCCATATTGACGAGCCAAACCAAAGTCACAGATCTTCAACTCACCGCTATTATTTAAAAGCAAATTTGATGTTTTCAGATCTCGGTGAAGCACCCAGTTATCGTGAAGATACCCAACACCCTCTAAAAGTTGGAGCATAAGGCATTTAACTTCACTTTGACTGAATGGTTGTTTGATTGTCTCCATCAATCCCTTAAGATCATGTTCCATGTACTCCATAACCATGAAAATACTGTCAAGATTGCTCCCCACAACTACTTCTTTAACATCAACAATGTAGGGGTGGTGAAAAGAAAGAAGAATGTTAATTTCCCGAAGAGCTGTCAAAGGAAAACCTTCTCTCTCTTTTTCCATCTTAACTTTCTTTAGTGCAACAATTTCCCCAGTCTTTTTATCTCTAGCTCTAAAAACTACCCCATAAGTGCCTTCATCTATTTTGTTCAGTCTCTCAAACTCATCTACACTCCTGCATCCCTGAAGCATATTCACACTCCTTTGTGTGGGTAATGTAGGCTCTGCTGTCCCACGGGAACAATTTTGATCCTCTGATTCTGTGTCATAATGGGTAAGACTAGCACCATCATAATTTCGGTCCACACCAATCTCCATGTACTCATTTTTGTCATCATTGTCAGTAAAACTCTCTCTACTAGAAGACCGAATGCCTTCGTCAGATCCAGAGGATCTTCCTCTTGTTCTCTCAGAACCTTCTTTTTCGACTACTCCAGGCTCCAGAGTTAATGATTTTCCAATTCCCCTTCCTTCAGAAGGCCCAGAACCAGAATTCCACTTCTTCAATTTCTGCAAATCTTCATCATCAGAAATTTCACCTTCATCAGCAGGTGAGTCAGCATCATTTGCCCATCGAGAGGATATTATGGTGCGCGTAATTGCATTATCATCATCATTAAGTGTCTCTGCTCCATGCTCGGGGATGTCTTCAGGAAGTGGAGAGGATACTTCAATTGAGGATTCCAGCACATCATCGGGTTCCACTCTTATCTGAGGAGACAATGCTTCTGACTTCTGAACCTTAGAATCATCTGTTGGTGAAATCTGTACAGCCGCATTAGGTGAAGGGTTACTTGAATTTGCCCTCGGCAAAGGAGGTAACTTAGATTCTAAAAGATTCCTACTCTTAACTGTTCTACTGACTTCCCTATCGTCTCTCTCCCAGACAATAGGAGAAAACTTTCGCTTCTTACTTTGCAGCTGCGATGAGTGATTACTATTTTCTGAATTCTTCACTTCACTCCCTTTATTTACCTGAATTTCCAAATCAACAGTCTCATCAGACCCCTCACTAGAAAGCTCCCCAGGCTCTCGGTCCACAACCTGAACTGAAAATCTGTCATTCTTAGGCTCACCACCACTGCTTCCCGAATCACTCTTACTAGAAGCAGATCGATATCCACCATTAGTCACCTCTCTCCCCCTCTCCTTAACATCCCTCTGTCTAACCCTACCTCTATAATCCTGACTATTACGAATCCGGACATGACTCTTATCATAATACTGATCCCTGTTCCCAAATGGACCATAACCCCCCTTAGAATACTCGATTTCCTTCCTCGAAGCCTCAAAATCAGACCCACGGTCCCTGAACTTATTGTCTCTGTAACCACCATGTCTTCCAGCCGCCATTAATTTCAGACTTTCCTGAACCAGTTCTCGAACGAAAACCCTAACGATGAATTCTCACAATCAAACCCCAACAACTTTCTCGAATAAAAAGTATAGAAGCCCTAATTTCACACAACAGAAGAATATATTTGTGTACGTAAATTTCGATTACTAATCTGGAAATCAATACTATATTCAAATACAGAAAAAGAAAATAAAAAAGTCTAACCAATGATAAATCCTCTCTTTCTCAATTATATTTCGGAACTGAAAATACAATCCTATAATTGAATGAAAAGGAAAAGGAAAAGGATATAAATCACTCTTTTTGAACGTGAATTCTAGAGAAGTCGGAGGGTTCAAAAATCCGGGGGAAAGCGAATCGATCAGCAACAATGGCTTTTAAAGGGTTGAAAGAAAAGGAAACATCCACAGAAATTTCCAATTTGATGAAATAATGATCGAAGGACGATGTGAAACTATTATCAATCGTGCTATGTCTACCAAGTCGGTTGACAAATACCGTTCACAAAGTGACGTGGCAGCGTTTAAAAAAAATTGAGAACACAAAAGTCTGAAAACAAAAAATGAAAGGACATTCTCTCTCTTCCTATTTTCCCATCCTCTCTCTTCCGTATTTCCCCCAAATCGAATCCGAAACCAACCCTTGCCTTTCGACAAATCCCTTCCGTTCGAACAGTTTCCTCCCGAAGCACTAACCTCCGACATCATCTCCATCTTCGGCAGCAACTGAACTCAACACTGTGATTTTAACACGATCCGCATAGTTGTCGAAGGGGACGTCGTGGCAAAGACCGTCGGATACCACAACAAAATCGATCAATAGTCTGAGATTTTTGTTCGGTCTAAGGTTTGGAGTCAACCCTTCCCTTTCAACCCATTTCCACTACCGCGAACTTGTTCGGTCTGAGGTTTTTATGAAATGTTTTTTCCTCCAATGACATTTCTGCAATTGCATCTATTTTGGAAGTTAAACCTTGTGATTCAAATACCTAATTTTTTCAAACAAATTTATGTGCTGAGCTAATAGACTCATGTGTTGATTGATTTTTTGTTGCTACTCTGAAATTCATAAATTTTATTGTTAAAGAAATTGACTTTAGCATTTGTAAAGTTAGTGAATTTACGTCTTGCTTGGAAACATGAGCTTCTTTTTGAGGCGTAACAGAATGGCTATGGGATTAGTCTGTTATCCATCTTTGTTTTGCAAATCTGAAATTTGGTGTTGGAATCAAATATGTTGCTGTAAATTTTCATTCCATAGTTTTCTATTTGGCAGAGAAGTTAAAATTTTGAATTTGCCTTTGTTCGTTGGAGATTTGATCTGAGATGCTAACATTTCCATATTTTATATTTGGCATTTGGTGGAAGGAACATAGAATGTCAGGAAAGAACTCTAGAGTTTGCCACGGCTACAGGAGTGTTGGACACTTCTTCGGTGATTGCCTGATAAAACGTCGTTGTCCACGTTGTATGCATGGATTTCAAAAAAATTTCGAGGTTGAAAGGGATATTATTAACAAAGGCAAAATTTTCAAATGTTGCGGTGTGAAGTGCGGGTTTTGGGAATAGTGCAAAGATGGAGAAGCAATTGGTGAATCTAGTAATGGCAGCTCAACTTTGGCTAAACAAGCGATCTACGAAGCAGTTGACGATACGTCCCGAATGTTCCAATCTCAAGTCCGACTAAATAACGAAGAAGAGCTTTTGATCTCTGTGAATGTGAATGTGAATGTGACGGTCCGTCGAGAAAAATCACCCGTCGAAGGGAAAATGAAGGGGAAAGACACGGCTTACTTACTGGTTTACGGTGTAATGGCTCTTTTGTGTTAAGTAGAGGCGTGTTGTATATTTGGTTAATTAGTTTAGTGCAAATGGGGGATTTTTGTTGAACCGACAGTGGCTATTGCATCTACCTTGTGCCTTGCTAGTTTATACTTCATGTACCTTGTGCCTTGCTAGCACATATTCAGATGGTGGAGGATTTAGATTGAACTAGTAGTTCATTGTTGCAATGCACATTTCATGTTGGTGTGTTTCATACCCCAACATTTGTCATTAACTTTTGTGGTTTCATCAATGATATTTAACTGGCCTCTTTTGTTTTTCCATCTTTATTGTGAATTAAATCACTTTATGATTTTGATGTGGTTGCACACCATAGACAAATGGAAAATTCCATCAACATTTTCAGTTAAATCTTCCTCAAAATTTTGAATCAATGAAAAAAACAAAATTGCATGTATATCATAAATACGTACATGGAGAAAAGAACAATCAAGAATAAAATACGTAGTATTGAAGCTTGAAATCGGATTCCAAATTTGCCACTACAATAACATGTTACATTGATGAAGGCGTTCTAAATTTCCATGTGGAGTAGTGACAAAAGAGAGAAAAACTCCTCAACAGTAATCGGACCCTTAGACCTTGTGTTGATAACAAAATGGTGTGGGTACTTCCTCAACAACATGAGCAACCCATACTATGGTTTTCCATTGGCTTTTGGAATGGGATGATCCTCGGACATGAGGTATCTTCTACTGCATCCTCAGACGTGAATTGGGAACTGGATCTCCTACTGCATCCACAATGCTTGCCATTCTTTAGTAGGCTCTTCCTGGAAAATCAAACTCATAAAAGCATCATCACTGCCCAGCCTACACAGCTAGATGAAATTTCAGCAAAGAGTAAAGATGATTATCAAGAAACAGTTGCTCGAAAAACAAACAATTTCGTGAGTTTGATTAAGGATAATGTATAGTATATCCCAATGAACTAACAATTTCGTGACTTACAGCCATTAGAATACATATTTAATATAAAATAATTCCACCCATTTAGCACAGGTTTCTCACAGTAGTATCCATAATAAAATCTTAACATTTAAACCAACATCATGTTTGTATTACTTATATAAGACAACAAAGCAGAGAACATAAAATAGAAGCCCATTTAGCTGTAATAGAAGCTGTCTGTTGCGATGCTTCCCTCGATTCAAATGGACCCACCATGGCGTGGTGCATGAGGATAGTTGTAATTCCACCCATAGTCATGTGCAAAATCTAAAACAAGGAAATAATTGTAAGACTTGGTGTATATGTACCATGAAAAAACATAAAGACAATAAATCCCTACCAAGTCACTAGGAAACTTTGTTCTAGGTGAAAATGCAGTAACACTGACTGCCTTTCTTATGCTACAGAATAACCAATAGAAGGTGGAGACAAAAAGGAAAACCACTTACGATATTATCAGGAAGAGATGTTGTCACAATTTTTCCTATATTCGATACATACAAGGGTTCATCAGCAGGTGGCTTTTCATTAAACACATCTCTACCTTCTGTTGCATCTTCTGGTTCCTCAAGTTCTCTCCGACTTAAAAGAAGTTCAAAATAAGCATTTTCTCCAATTATTAAAAAACGAAAAAAAAAACCAATTTCACGATAGAAAATCATTAATCTATACGTAGCACACCCAAACAACTGAAAACATAAGACTTTCTTTTTGATTGAATGCTGAAAGATGGAATCAATTACAAAATAAATAAATAAGTAATAATAATAATTGTTAGATTTTACAAGCACTAATAATGCTGGGCTTTTGGAATTAAGGCTCAGTTTGTTGTTTTAATTGTGTTGGGCTTTTCTAGTAAAGTTTTATTCCTAGCATATGTTTACAAAAAAGCATAGATGTACACAAGGTTTTTATTAACCCAGTGATTAAAAAAAAATTCTAATAATAAATATAGTTCATGACTGAAACGTGAAGATAAGCAATACTTGTTTCTAGATGCATCTCGAGAATTTAAAACTTGAATAAATAAATTCGATGTTTCTTGAAAGCACAGCACAGAAGAGTAGGAACTACCAAAGAATCTTTGCTTTCATTGACATTTACTACAGCTACAGGAATTTTCCTCACTTTTTTACTACTTTGATCACCTTGATATAAGGCAATTGTTAAGAATCTATCATTATTCTCCACCCTACCCAGGATCCTCGCAACTTTATTAGTATGTAGGTTTACTACCTAAAAACACAAACAATAGATGGAGGATTTGCATATTTATCACCGAGAAAAACAAATACAAATTGTAATTGTTGTGATTGAAATATATGTGTACCTTGGGAATTCGAATTAACGTTTGTGGTGGTCATGGGGATCAACGTAGTAGATGGCACTTGTTGAGTGAACATATGGCTCATCCCATCACCCTACATCACGTTCTTCGCATTAATAACATCAGAAATTCTTACAAAACTTAGCAATTAATATACGAACCAGTAGTAGTTGGGAAAACGAGAACGTCATTGGCATCGATATTGGCATTGGCATTGAGTATTGCTGCTCAGGTGGTGGCGAAACCTCGGCCACACCATCCGAGATACAACTATGTCTCGGGGTTGGTTTCTTTCCTTTTAAGTGACTCGATTGCACCTGCAAGTATACCATAATGAATTTCACGTATTGTATAAAATGAAGTGATTAACAGAGTATAACATACGAGTATACCTTTGATGTGGTAGCGTTCGCTTCCAAAGGCCCTTTTCTCCGTTTTGTCCTCGGGGCTCATTTTTTCTTCAACGGTATCGGATCTTTCACTGTGGCGCTGCCTTCATTTCGTGATGCTATGCAATGTAAATTGATATTACTGCAAGAACTCGAGGGGGTCAAACTAAACTCCTTATTTTGAAGTTGTATCCAATACATTATCGCACGATAGCTCCCTTCGTCATCTGCTACAAGGTCCGCTACCCAGGCAAATACCTTACACATCTCGTCATATCTCAACTGTGCAGGAGTACTAACCAAACCGTCGTAATTAATGGCAACCCTTGTGTACGCTCTACTGATGTCTTGCCTCCACCTGCACAGTATATAGAGATGTGGCATCACACTCACATCATTACATATCAATGCCGCAATTGCATGCCTACACATTATACCCCGAAATTTGAACAAGTGACAGCTGAATATGATTTCACAGTTCTCCATATTGAAGGACACCTGAAAATGTTATTTCTTTCGTATCTCTCCACAAACTACGTCATCCCGTACGTCATGCATCGTCCCCATATGTCCTTCTGAAACAGACATGAGGTCACAATAAACCTTCCCTGTAAATTCCACTTGAACTTTGAAAGTGTGTACAATGCCTGATATTGTTTTTCCATTTCATAAGTTGTTGCACACGAGAGCATTTGAGAGAAAGACTTGAAATCGGCCTGAAATTCCTTCTCAACCTTACTCCGCAGTGCTCATTCATACTGTTCGACGGACTACTT